GCCAAAAAACTCAACAGCCAACACGGCAGAAACAGCAGCACACTAACTTGTCTGTGTTATATTCCTTTTTTGTCCCGAGATCATCAGGGGAAATAGTTTTTATTCTCATACAAATATAGAAACACCATGCTGACATTTACTAATTAACACAGTTTACATTAAATATGGCTCAGGTTAGTGAGAATATCATTATTCAATGTTTTTGCAAGTATTTGGTCATGAATCTGAACACTAGGAACTAGATAAAGAGTCTGGAGAGGTCAAAGTCATCAGAATTCACTCTCTGACAACCATGAATATCGCTATAAACATTTTGTTGCTGAGTCTGGACCAGAGTCGGGGAACAACATTGCTGCCCAATTAATCCACACTGCCATCCCTAGAGCTCTACCACTGGCATAGTTAAAAAGGAAAGACTGCACCGAAGTATGCTTCCTCTTTGTACATAATCTGATTTAACTTTTGTAAAATTTCACAAGCATCAAATATTTCAGTAATCAGACCACACACTGAATAACAAGCCATGAGAAACTGACTTTATCACATCAGCCTTTTCTCTTGCATCCTTCCACGAGGAGGTCAGAGGTCAGGGTCAGTTAAAGAGCAAAGCTGGAAGAGGTTCAGTGTTGCTCAAAGCTACTTCAACAGTATGGAAACTTGCCAACACATGGGGCTTGAAGCCCAAGACCTTTGCTTGAGGCTGAGAGACAGTCTTTTTAACCACTGGGGCTCCCTGATGTTGGTAATGCCGTCTCTGGCCACAAACAAAAGCAGGAGTTGCGTTACAGTCACGGTCATGGTGCCAAAGAAAACCCATTTGCCCAGTGATGACAGACGAGACCTGACCAAACCCTTGTGAAAGCTGGGAGAACATGACTGAACTGTATGGTGTAAGACTCAACAAAGTGCGTGGGAAATGGCTACTACCAGACTCTACCACTAAGTTCAGTCAGACTGCTGAACCAGCTTTGACCTCAGCAACTACCAGAGTCCATTTAGAGTTAAATAAGGTGTATCATGAGATGGGTATTCCCCCAAACCTGTTTCTAAAATCTGACGGTGATGTAGCGATGTTATCTGATCATGATATCCTGAGGACAAATCCATGTATGTTATCAAAGGCAATGCAGGCTATAAACCTGTTATGTCACGCGTACACAGTTTTACTGGCTCATAATGTAAGCTGTGTATCCCTCTGAGAAAGACTGAAGCTTATTGAAGAATGTTCAGATTCCAACTCCACAGCTGGAGGGAGAGAGATCCTATGATAAAGCCATGCCAATGCAAATACAATGCAACTATGTCTGCAGACCAACGCACGGCACATCTGACAGTCCTGTCTGCATTGTTGTGTAAGCCATTCTCAACGCTCCTCAGACTACATAATTAAACTGACCTTCACTAATCCATGCATACATGTACGCCAACATCTACACAAACTTCACTAGCCATCCTGTTCGCTTCCACATGACATTACGCAACATAGCATGGCTGGAGAAAAAGGCCATGTCGTAGCCAGTCTGTCGCCGGTCTTGCTTAAGTGAATTGATCAGTGATGGTTTCACTCAATCAGCTGAAGGCTCGCCACAGCTTGTTTTAAGCATTAGAGTATGTTTAAGTACATGATGGTTCCACAGGCATCCACCTAAAGAGCCTAGTTAAAAATGGGGCCGGTTTAGTCAGATGCAGTCAAAACTAGGGCTATGGAGGACTGGTCAACTTGCTGGTCAGTATGCTCACATCTTACCAAATTCTCACAATCACCAGTGTTATTTTCTTAAGAAGAAGAGTGTTGCATCAATAGCCGTCCAGGAATTATCCATTATTTTCAGTTGCAGGAGGAACAGACTATCTGTGAACACCTTGTTTTCACAATTTTGTACTGGTCCAACCTAATGGAGACTGCAGGGTCTAGCTTATTTAATGAATGAACGTTTACTCAGAGTCAGCTTCAAACTAATCGACACCATTAAAAACAAGACGTCAGTGTGGCTGCCACTGGTTAAAGCAGATGGCCAAAAAGTCAAGTGAAGACTTTGCAAACATGAGTTTGCATCTAACAGCTCAACAATCAATGTGGTGGATCATCTAGAAACAGCAGGCTTACTGGTCTGCTGATGTATTCCTTAATAGCTATTGTGCTGGCATCACCAACTGTAATAGTTTCATTTTCAGAAATCACATGAGTATGCGCTGTTGCACGCTGGTCTGCTCCAAGACACTTGTTATCATTTCAGTATAAATTAACCAGGCTAAAATGATTTATTAAGCTGCAAATTCTAGCTTTTTAAATTTATTTTCAATACATTTAGACTAAAAAGACTAGCAGGTAGACTCAGATCTTCATCTACAGATGACCTGCAGATTTTTTTCCTCCCACAACCAATAAATTGATTTAAGAGCAGGTACGATTTTAGCTGACAAAAATATTCTGTAGCAGCCCTATAGCCCTAGAAGCTCTGTGAAACTATATGTAGGCACAGTGCTGCTTGAAGCTACCGCCTACCGCTCTCACATGACAACATGCCAATGTTAGCATGTAATGTTACCATATTCTCTCTCTTAGTTCCATGTTTTAGCATGTTCAAGAGCAGAAACTACAGTAATTGGTACAAAACATAAATGTCATTAATTTTGCAGGTATTTAGTCAAAAGGCTTCACGAGTTGTGTCAGAAAAGTTTCAGGACTGGTGTCACAGAAGATATATTTCAAATCCAAACTACAAACTACAGGTTTTATCCTTCAAAGTAATCCTCCTGGAGTCTAACCACTTTCCCAGCCTTCTCTGCCACGCTGCCATGCACTCCTGGACGGATTCTTCCAGGATTCTCCGCAGCTCCATCGTCCCAGCCGTCTTGATGTCATCCACGACTTTAAAACAGGTCCCCTTGATGACCCCCTTGAGCTTGGGGAAGAGGAAACAATCCCATGGAGCCAGGTGGGGTGAGTAGGGAGGTTGCTCCAGCACGGCGATGTTCTTCTCAGCCAGGAACTGTTGGATGCTCAGGGCATTGTGAGCAGGAACGTTGTCATGGTGAAGCAGCCATGACTTGTCCTGCCACAATTCTCGCCTCTTCTCACGCACTGAATGAAGCAAACGCTGCAGGATCTCTTTGTAGAGGTGCTGGTTGATCGTCTGAAGGGGACAACTTTGAAATATATCTTTTGTGACACCAGCCCTGGAACTTTTCTGACACACCTCGTATGTATTCAAGTATTCACAGCATTCATGGCAGTCCACTTAAACGGTGGTGGTGGTGGTGAGGTGTTAAGAAGAACCTTACAGGTACAGCAAAAGTCAATAAAACACATTGTTATTGGAACCATGACTGTCTGTGCAAACTTGCATCCCTGGAATCATGCGAATGCAGTTGCTACACACAGCATTTTAAGCATTCATGCGTCATTGCCACAGAAATTAATCAATGTTAACTATGATTACGGTGGAGACGTGTCCTTGCATGGCATATTTTCATTTCCTTTGATCACATCACCTCCAGTGACACATTTATCTGTCTCACAGCTCTGTTTCTTCTGCCAACATGTTTTTCTCTTTTGCTGACAATGAGGAACACAATGGAATGTTTGAGGTGATTTTTCCACATGCCTTCTTCTTCCAAGACAAGTTTTATCACTGTTCACCTTAGAAAAATCCTACCATCTTCCTGTTTTGTTTATTTTTTTTTGCCTTTAAACAGTCTTTAAGAATGTCCTACCTGCTCCAACGTGGTTACATGCCATAAAAATAGAGTAAAGAAGGAGGAAGATGCAGCCAGGCCTCTAAATATAATACCAAAACTGAAGTTACAACTGTCTAATTACAACAAAATGAAAATGCAACAGGTATTGACTCATTATTGGTCTTTTTAGATACACATGACAATGTTTAAATGAACAAAACGGAGGACAAAATGAAGACGATCTGGGAAAGAGACATGAGGCAGCATTTAGTCAGCTCTCACAAACACACACAAAAGATCCTTTGTCCAAACTGCAAACTTGCTCTCTGACTCCAGACCTTGTGAGATGATGTCAGTGAAATGCAAAAATACTGCTTTGCCTTGTCCCATGCTTTTGCGTGCGTGTGAACTGAATAATGCCACCTGTGTGTGTTTCTGTGTGTGTGTGTAATAATGTGTGTGTGTGTTGATGTGGAGGGAGTGAGTGAGCAAGCATCAAAAATAACTTTTATTGTTCAGGGTGGGCATCCTGAAAACATCTTTGAGAAGGATGGAACATTCCTGGGACAGGAGGCTCTACAGAGGGAAGGAAGGGCAAGGCTGTGACACACACACACACACACACACACACACACACACACACACAGAGTGACGCTAAGAGCCAGGGTTGAAGCGTGTGAACCGGAAATGGGCGCCTGTCTTGCCGGAGCCAGCAGACGGATTCAGAAGGTTCAGAGAGATCCGACCTGTAGACGTTCCCAGCCGTATTCCCAGCTCTGCCACGGAAGTCTGCACTCTGTCTGCAGCATCCTGGAGACACTGCTCAACTCCTTCCACAGCAAAACACGGCTGTCACATGTCTGCATGTGCGTGTAATTGTGATTGATAATGACGATTCTCCGACAACACGCACACGGCCAGATAACCCGGGGTGAGCTGTTGTGTAATGGAAGGAAAAGCCGTACGCAGCCAAAGTCAACACATGCTGCTCTGACCTGAACACAACAGACGAGTCAGCTGGTTTCAAAACAAATGCACATATGAAGTATGCACACATAACCCCCTCTCTCACGATTGAGGTCAATGGAAGCACCGCAAAAGTACACCAAGGAGTTTAACATTTATCTCAGTCACAGTTAACGACAACTAAATTATTTAACTTAAAATGTGCAAGGAAGTCAGTGACGTTGTGTTAGGCCTATAACAGAACTGAAAGGTGGTCACTCAGCCACGGCCCTTCCGATACTTGAACAGCAGACCTGCCTCTTCTAGTCAGCTGTACAGATTCAGCGAGTGTGTGTTAGTGCAGGTGTGCTTACGTGGTTGTCGGAGGTCTGTATGGGGCTGAGAATGGGGGATCCCGCTGGGCTGCAGAGCTCAGGGAAAGGGTTGGGGATGGCTGGCAGGGAGGCTGGACGCAAGTGCTGCTCTTCCCTCAGGCACCTGCAGAGGGAGACACACACATTCATGTCACCACCTCAGCTCAACAGCAAAAGGCAACATGTGTATATATATATGAACATGGGCATCATTTGGGTATGGAAAGGTTTAGGTCAATTTTAACTCTGACCTTTGTTAAAGAAAACATTACTGGCGTGTTGGCTAAGAAAGAGAGCTACTCATCGATAAAACTATGATTTAAACTTACTTTACTGGATGATTATTTAAATTCCAAGTAATGTAATGTATAGATGCAGATTAGCAGAAGAAGAAGAGGCTCAAACCTTCAGGTGAATCCTGTGAGTTTAGATAGTGGCACTTCATAATAGCGTCCCATTAGTAGTCTGGACATTCTGTTAAAGTAAGACCTGCTGAAGACTGCTGGCCTAAGTATCATTCAGTAACAGCAAGGATGTGTGGTGTCATGATTACCTTACTAACTTTTTCCAGTTGCTTTGTTATGCTTATATGCTCAGACCTTACACCTTTTGAGATATTCTCCATTCTCCAACACAACAGGAAAGAGGTGAATTGCATCCTGGAATATACAATTAGGTCCATAGGTTTTTTTGTATAGTGACACATTTTTTTTCCACAATGGATGTGAAATGAGGTAATCAATGTGTTCATCAAGGGGTTTAACAAAAATATTACATTACAAGTTTCAAAATACAGCTTTTTGGTTTAGTCTCTCCATTTTCACAGGCTCAAAAGAAGCTAACTGATAAGCAGTTTCATGACCAGGTGTGGCCAGTTTTCTATTTATATCACAATGAATTAAAGAGATCAAAGGTCTGGAGTTGATCCCAAGTGATACATTTGCATTTGTTAGCTGTTCGTGTTCTCAATAGCAGTCCAATAAGGTGTCAGTGCAAGTGAAGGAGGCCATCATTAGGCTGAAAACACAAAACAGACTTCTCAGACAGACAGCAGACACTTTAGGAGTGGCCAGATAAACAACTTGGTTCATTCTTAAAAAGAAAGAATGCACTGGCGCGTTCAGCAACACCCAAAGGCCTGGAAGACCGGCAAAGACAACTGAAGTAGATGACTGCAGAATTCTTTCCTTGGTGAAGAAAAACCCCTTCACAAAATCTAGCCAAGTCAAGAACACTCTCGAGGAGGAAGTCTACAATCAAGAGACGCCTTCATGTATGTAAATACAGAGTGTTTACCTCAAGTTGCAAACCACTGGTAACACTCAAGAACAGAGAGGCCAGATGAGACTTTACTAGGAAACATTTAAAACAGCCTGGAACAGTTCTGGAACAAGATTCGTTGGAAAGATGAAACCAGATGAACTCAGAATGATGGGAAGTGAAGAGTTTGGAGCAGGAAAGGAAGGGTTCATAATCCAAAGCAAACCACATCATCTGTCAAACATGGAGGCAATGTTATGTCATGGGCATGTATGGCTGCCAATACAACTGGGTCACTGGTGTTTATTGATGATGTGACTGCTGATAGAAGTAGCAGGATGGTTTCTGAAGTGTATAGAGCTGTACTTTCTGCTCAGATTCAGCCAAATGCGCTTCACAGTGCAGCTGGATAATGACCCCAAACGCACCGCAAAAGCAATCCAAGAGCTTCTTATGGCAAAGAAATAGAATGTCCTTAAATGGCCGAGTCAGACACGTGAACTTTACCCAGCTGAGCTGCTTTTCACGTATCGAAGACAAAACTGAAGAAAGATCCACAAACAAGCCGTAACTGAAGGTGACTGCAGTAAAGGCCTGGCAAAGGGAGTAAACAGAGACATGTGGTGATGTCTATGGGTTCAAGACTTCAGGAAGTCATTGTTTGCAAAGGCTTCATAATCCTTACATTCATAATTACATTAGTTTATCCAATTACTTTGTGAAAACGGTTAGAATATGAAAAAAAAAAGTTGCTAAACCTGCTGAATTAGGGTTGCAGATCTCCACATCTTGATTGGTTTGTTTGAAATCCTTTGGGGTTACAGAGGAAGACTGTAAGCACTGTGCAAAAATTTACATACTTGACAGTATTCAAATAAAGTAAGGATGGGGATCAGAAACATGTTACAGTTGACAACATCTGAGGGGAAGGTGGCAAATAGGGATTCACTACCTTTGGCTGTGTGTTAATGTTGGTCAATTTATCCCTCACAGTAGCTACCAAATGCTAAACTAATAAACAAAAACTGTCAGAATTCATTATATGAAGGAAAGTAAGATATTGCATTCGTTGTTATGAAGGGAGAGAGGTCTGCGTGGCTAGATGGAAGTTAATTACTGTCTAAAGACTCCATTCAAATATGTTGATGTCTGCATGAGTCTTATAGCGTAATTAGAAAGAAACAGTACACACCAAAGGAAACAGAGCTTTTACTGCTATTCGCGGCATTACTGCACTGGAGACATTACTCCACGGATGTATTAGCTCGTAGAATACTGGAAGGTAAAATCAGGGTATTAAGACAACCCTGCCAGGGATGGTTTTAGTGTTCATGCGGCAAATGTGTTGGTCAGCAAGTGTGGGCCAAACTCCAGGGCTGATTTGATGTTTCAGCCTGTCCTTGCTTGACAATTTAGGAAACTGGTGACCATCTTAAAACGTTAACTGCTGTAGACGATAACATTAAAAACCTTTATAATGTAATTAATCACTCACCTCTGATCAATCCAATTTTCTTCATCTACACTGTTAAGATGTGTAGATTCATGAATCTGCGTAATAGTTAATTATTCTCCTGTCTGATATATATGTGCGTATAACCTCAAATGCAGTAGGGAAAATGGGGGTAGAGCCAACTGGAAGCAGACTGCTTGCCCGATCCACATAAAAACACAGCCGAAAAAAAAAGAGGAGAGCAAAAACAGAGTGTTCTTTCTTGGGCTATACGCGCTTATCTTTATACATATTTTCATTTCTGCAAGCACAGTACTTCCAGCTGTCTTTATCTTGAACATAAGCCAGCAAGATCAACATCGAGGGCCAGGTTGTGTGTGTTTACCTGACAGCCTGGATGTGCATGGGCTGAGAGTGTCTCAGCCTTTCCCTGGAGGGGGAAGAAGGATGCAGGGGCGGGGTGTGACGACGGTGAGCCTGGTTTTGTCCCAGGTAGGCAGCCTGTACGTGGTGATGGTGGTGGGGAGGAGCGTGGCCATTGTTGAGGAGGAGGGCCGTGTCTGCCTGTGTGGAGTACACACTCTCCATGGAGGAGTTCATGTCGTTCACCAGCTGCTCCAGGTCCACATCGTCGTCTGTTGGAGCAGGCGGGTGGTGGGATGGGACGGAGGGAGGGAGGGGGAGAAAGGCGGGAGAAGGAAATGAGTGGCAGTGAAAGTTGCAGGGCAGCAAACGTCCACAAGGGGACCCCTAGTGGATGTTTGCTGCCATATACAACCAGCTGATAGTCATTAAAAATCATCTGTCATAGACCCCCGTAACGCTGCAAATGAGATTAAACTTAAGTGAATCAGTGCAGTTTAACTGTAGCAGCCAAGTTTAGTGATGAATAAAACAAAGCTGCAGAAGAACCAGACTGATGGCACAGTTAGTCATGTTTGCTCTGAGAAGTCTTTGCAGTTGATATGAAAGATTTAATAAGACGTCTGGTTCTGGAGATTTCTACAATCATACAAATAGATCTTTTGCTGTATTTCTGCAGTTAAACACAGACTGAGGAAACACTGTTGAAGATAATTTGTCAGAAAGTATCGCTGAAGGAATCCTGTGTGAAAGCCTCGCTTCACGGCCCATAAAGGTTGACCAAACTTCAATCTGTTCTTTGCTTTACTGATCACCAGCTCAGCAGCTTTTGTAGGACTCCTACTGTCCACACAGAGACAATGTCGCATTGTTCTCACCAGCAACTTTACTAGTTGTAATTGAACATTGTCACCAGTAAAAGTTTTTTTTAAGCCTGAGAGCTGCTTCCTGCTGTTGGGGTTGTCTTTGGCTTGGATTTCATCCAGTGCCTATGTAGTACATCAACTTACTGGCTTGCCTTTGGTCAGACTATGTGAAACCTGCTAACTAAACACAACCAGTGTAAAGGAGTCTCTCGAGATGCTTTTGCAGGTCAGTTGTTAATGCTTATCTTTTTAACTCGAGCTGCTACTAATTAACTGAAGTAGGTCCTGTACATGACAGGCCTACTGTGAGCGACCCTCAGAGCTTTGAGGACCTGCTGTTCATTTTTTTCCCTTCAGTGTTGAATCTGTAGACTTCTCCAAGCACTTCATATTGCAAAACTGCCTTCCAGTCCTTCAGGGACAAACAGAGATGAACTTGCAGACACTACTCACAACTTACCATTTTCCGTACTTACAGCTAAATATTTTCCAAGTCTAAAGTCAGTGCTAATCTGCACTGTAGGCTTGAGAAGAAGAGTGAAATAGTGGGAAAGAAATCTCTCTGATTAGGCTAGGTCCTCACAAGTGCAGTCTCAATGTGTGTGTGTATGTGTGTGTCCAAAGGCCTTTGGTCCTGTGTAAGTCCCACCCCAACACCACACACAGAATTCCTGACATTCCTGTAGGAAGAAATTACAGCACTCGGGGAACGTTAACCAGCCTGTTCATGGCACATGGTGGCCAAATGATCAAGACAAAGTAGGACACCAAAACACACACAAACACACCTACACACACGCACACAAACACACCTACACACAAACACACACACATACACAGATACACACAGACACACACGTGCATGTACACGCAGTCGAGGATAGGACAGCATGTTCTCTATGCAGGGCTGATGAGCATGTGCTTGTAATTATACAAGCGAATTAAAAGAAAAAGCATTGCATTGAACTGCATGTACACAAACATGCGCGCGCACACACACAGTGAACGTACACGCTGAGAGTGGAAAAGAAGCAGCTGCACCAAAAACAGCAGGAGTCGCTCATGTCAGATCACAAAGAGGTATGCGTGACACTCGTGTACACACATATGCACACAAACAGAAAGGACAGTCTGGGACACAGGGTCATGTGATGCTGGGGTTCATGAGTGGGACATGGGTGAGGCGGGTGGGTGGCGGGAGGCACAAAGAAGGGACACACACACACACACACACTCAGAAAAGAACAAGAACACATAAGGACGGTAGTTATTATGTAAAGCTGCAATACACTGGAGGCCTGCTACATCACAGTGCAAACATTTGACGTGTAGTCTGTTTTATTATTCGCACCTTTGTTTTCCTACCATGACCTGTTAAAACGTCCTGTCTAAAATCGGCCTATTACACACGGATGGAAATATCTAGAAATCCTGTAATGTGAGATTCAGGAAAAGTACCAATACTTTTCACACAGACTTAACATTTGTGCTTGTCTGGAGAGAGCAACACGAGTCTGTTGGTTGTTCCATTACTTTGGTCCAGACTGAAGCATCTCAATGTCTTTAAGATGGATTACCATGAAATGTTGTAGCAGGGATCATGTCTTATTTCATGTAATGGCTACGCTGCCCTCTTAGATTTTACTGCAGTAGCACCATCATTGGGTTTAAGTCTGTCCAACACTTCCTGACTAAATATCTGCAGATATAATGATCCTCCCATCAGCATCTCTGTGCCTTCTTTGTGCTAGTTTGAAAACATTTACACGCTAAAACAGTAAAACTATGTTGGCGAAGAAGGTAAAGATTAAACCTGGTAATAATTCTGGTGGCTTCAGGGTCACCATGGGGGCAGCAGCCACAGTGATAGGCAAAATATTTCTACATACAAAGACCAACATTTGAATTTAATACTCTCTATAGACGTGAGAGAGTTGGTCTGTGACCGATATAATTTGATACACCGTACACAAACTATAACAAGGTCTGATGGGTGGTGACAACACTCTGCCCTGAATGTGGCAGCTGATGACAATAAATCTTTCTGTAAGTACACTCTTCTGTGTATCAAATACAGGAATGGTGGTGTCAGGCTGCCATGAAAGGAGGAGATAATGTTATTATGAATGAATCATTATGCACGGACTACTCTCTTTAGTGGCTCAGGTGGTAGAGCAGGTTGTCTTCAAATCACAAGATTGGCAGTTCGATCCCCCTCCCCAGTCGAAGTGTCCTCGGGCAAGACACTAAACCCAAAGTTGCTCCCAGTGGCTGACAGGCACCTTGCATGGCAGCTCTATCGCCATTGGTGTATGAACGTGTATCAACTCTCATATCTTCCTCTGATATTCTGCCAGCTAGCTCAACAGTTCAACTAAAACTTGCCAGTTATTTTAAACAACACTTAGCCATCTACACAATGGCGCCTGTTCAAACGTAATGACAGCACAAATGGAAACCACATCCATTAAATTGCTACAGTTTATAAACCGTACATCTGTAATTAGTCCAGAGTTATTAGATCTAATAGTAAAAGTGAAAATGTATTTTACTCATTGTTTGAGTTGCACCTAAGTGCCCCATTTAGGGGGATTTCTCTCCTTAAAATACTTCAAGATCTTTGATGATTGTGAGTGCTGGTGAGGATGGTACTAGCTCCGGCTCAAGATGGCTCTGTGGGAGTTACTTGAATAATGAACTCATCTCATTTGTGACCAGTCGCAAATCTATATTTCTCTGAACAGAGCAGAAATATGAAATATGTCTCTCTCAAGGCAAAGAAAAGTAGCAGCACAATATTTAGTGTGTGCTTATGAGAAGATCCTCTAGCTTAATTCAATTCGATTTTATTTGTATAGCGCATATATATATATTTACAACAACAAGTCATCTCATAGCGCTTCACAAAGGCAGAGACAGAAACACCCAACAATCCAAAACATTTGGATTCCCTATAAGCTTCAGCAGTCCGCAACAGTGTGAAGGAACCGAAAACCCCCACAGGGGGAAAAAACCTCCGACAGAACCAGGCTCAGGGAGGGACGGCCATCTGCCTCGATCGGTTGGGTGGATGTAGGATGAATTATAAAATTTAGTTTACAGTTAAACAAGTTAATAGAATTTATTGTCCTTTTGTAACAGGAGGCATCATGGTGGGAGCAGCAGGATGCAGAAGGTGAGGCCAGCGGCTGTAATTCAGGCGCTTACTTATTGTAAGTTTGAAGATTTTTAATCTTGCTGCTCCTCATTTAGAAGTTTTACATAAAAACAGTCAGATTTAAGGTGGTAATAATATAAACTAAACAAAAATATAAATGCAGCATGCAAATGGTTTTCTTTTCTGACTAAATGAAAAAGTTAAAAATGTATTTCCATTGTTCCCTTTAAAAAAGACTTGCTATAAAAGACAATCAAGACAGTGTAACCACAGACTCCTCGGGACCATAAAAGGCCACCTTAAAATGCAGCTTTCTTCAAATGGCATTATGCCACAGATGACAAGAGAAAGATTAGAAAGAACTGGTGGCTTGCTGGGTGCTGAGCTATTAGAAGGGTTGAATGTCCACAACTCCACCATTTGTTGTCTAAGAAATTGATTCAGACCCGATGGTACAACAGACCATCTGCCACACACTCTGGATAGTGCTCCGACAACTTGTTCCCCTGAAATGTCAGAATCGACAACCCTTTTAACTCCACTCTTGATCTGCCTATTATCATATCCAATGTAGTGCTTGGTTATTTAATGACATCCAGTCTGTTAATGTGCTTGAGCACCTTGGTTAAAAAGGAATGGTTAGAATGAAAAAAAAACTATTTCCAAGCTGCCTTTATGTTGTTTTGTTCAGCATTGCCATCCCTCTCTGTCCTCATTTGACCGGCTTGGCCCGAACTGCACTGCTGGCTTTAGCCGAGAAACCAGAGGACATATAGAATGAAAATCTCTTTTCCCTCTCCAGTTCTAAGTTCGATTTGGAATGTAGATGAATTTGCTGCAGCAGTTTGGCTCGCAACTGACAACAAAACCTACCATACAAACCTGGCCAGTTCATTCCTGTAAGATCCCAGAATACCCTGAATGAATGCTCTCTGTCCCTGGCCACGACAACCTGCAATCATCGATCTTTGACGGCAGTCTGGAGGTCAGTGAGGACAGTTGGATGTTGAGGTTTTTCAAGGGCAAAGTGCAATTGAGTTCTTTTACATGCTGTAAAAACAGAGTGGGGTAATTTTGTATTTAAAAAAATGCCCTTTTGCATAAATATTCTATTTGTTTTAAGCAAATAGAGTACAGTTTGGTTGTCGTTGTTTTGTGTATGGACTGTATTTGTGTTATCAGTGCATTCACATTATGGGAGGTACGTGTCATCCTTGAGGCTGATAAAGTCAAAGTGAAACTAATGAGTGTGATGCATAAAAGCGGGTGTGCAAAGTGAATTAGTGATGCTTTTCTCTCTTAACAGTCGCTCTGAGATAAAAGTCACTGAACTTTAAGCCTCCAGCTATCACGAGTAACCACCAGAAGCCTCTGCTTATCGAAAGCTAATGAGGTGAAGCAGGGTAACTCTGCAAAACAGCACACAAACTAAATGAGAGAATGTTATGAAGAAAACATTACATCTAGTGCAGTGTGTTGGCTCACTTGCATGCAGACAACAAAAAGGTACATATCAAGAAATGCCACCAGATTATCAGAAAGACTGGCCCAGCATAAATGAAGGGCACGTAACCTGAGCCCACCGTGATCTAAATATACAACACATCCATCAGTGAGGCTGATGTAGGGTTTCTCTGTCTTGCAACGCCAGAATGAAACAGTGGCTCAGTGACTTTGACTCTTTTCACTGGAGTCATCTTTTTTTCCTACCAAACATAATATCAGGGAAACTTCAGCTGGTTGTAGCAATTGATGGTTTTGGATCAAAACCAAATAAGTCACCTTGAAAACAGAGAAGCAATTTCACAGACTGCTTTGTCTATGAGACATTTGGTCAAGTCAAAGCACAACATTCCTCTATGGATGTAACCTGCATCTTATTTTCTACAACTCATCCGCTTTTTAAATCTAACTATTCACTAAAATGACTCTTCTCTCATTCCCATGTGAACTTGACATTACATTGCATGATCTGAGAACTGACGAGTAGCTCACAGCGTGACATGTTATCAGTGTAGCTCAATATTTGGACGACTGCACACAAAGCTTAAGCACACTGACAACGAAGAACTCTTTAAACTCTGTGGTAATGTTGATAGGATCATCAATTTGTGGTTTAATGCAGTGCAGTCTATGAGTTATTTATGAATTATGATTATAATTTACTTTTCCATTTCCAACCACCCTGACTCATCAGCTTGCGCTTCAGTTAGTGCTTTTCCATTTCTCACAATTACATTTATAACGACCGCAAAGTGGATATGAAATTGCTGCAATCAGTTTATTTTTATGTGTAGGCGAAGAAGGCAATATCAGCGCAAGGGGTTTTCCGCTTGAGGGAAAAAAAAAAAAAAAACTAAGGCAAGCATTGCATCCTGGTACCCTGAGGCTAGTGTTAGTGGACAAACTGTTGTCTCTGCCACTTCAGTACACTCTGGGAAATTTTTCCATTTTGTTGGCATCTTTTTCGTACAACTGTAAGCTCTGTAAAGAGGTTTGTCCCCTTTGATTCAGATGGACTGACCAACCAAACCTTAACAGCAGTACTTAGGTTTTGCCTCACCTGAGCAACCTGGGCTCGATTGTAGCAGCTGAAATACCACAACTTTCCAATTACCAATACATCACCAAACAAACTCAGCCCAGAAATACGAACAACGCCTATTTACATGTGCTGTTTATTTGTAGAAAACCTCTAATCACTCTAGTGGTGTGTTAGAATATGAACTTCTTGTTTTTGCGTACCCCCTACAGTGTCCACCCATAGACTGTATAAAAGATGGATGTAGCTTCCGTGACGTCACCCGTTGGTTTCTGCACTGAGAAAATGAAGCCAGGGTTTTGCTACTTCCTGGTTGACATCTTGGATTTTTGGAGACAGTGACGCAAAAATCGTGGGAGGGGGGCGGAGCCATAGGAGCAGCGATTGGTCAGACGGATTGAGAGGCGGGCCCTCTCTGCCCGCCCACATTTACCGCCTTCTGCTCGCTTCATCTGCATCGTCGCTGCCGACTGTCAATCAAACCAGCCACGCCCCTTGCCCCGCAAAATTTTGATGATTTTTTAAAAATTCAGTGTTGATTTATTTTCAGATTGGCCACCTGATCTCTGAATTTAACTCTGAAAACTAATAAGAAAGAAATCCTGAGCTGTAGGAATGCAGTATTTCGTGATCTGTGATCACTTCTTTTCCAATTCAAGTCTATGGGAGCCAGGGCTTTTTGGAGCCAGCAGCTAGCGGACGTAGGTTTTTGACACTTATGGTTTGGCTTCATTTTTCAGGGCCGGTTGCTACATCCATCTTTTATACACTCTATATGTCCACCCTGCCTCACAGGTCCACGGCCCACGTTCAGTTTCATCAACAAAGACTAAATTTAAACTATGATGAAATGATTTACATTTTTTCATCAGTGATGTGAAATGAAAAGCAGGAAAGTTAAAGACAGAAGAATGAGCTAATTGCTGCCTTAAAGTCGTATTCAGTGATCTGCAGCATCTGTAGATTCAAACACTGCAGCTCCTGATCAGTGGAAGTTTCCTTGTTTAGAAGTAGATTTTATTTGTTTGATGAGAAGCGCCTTACATTTAGTAACGTGATCTGATGTGAGCAGTTCTTGGAAGAAATAGATTTTTGAATTAAAGTCATATAAAACGTTGGACTAACATTAATCTGACAATGTAACAGAAGGTGATGTGGATGCAACGTTGCTTTCAGTCAGACATCGTTCAGATTGCTAGAAGAATGAATGAATCAGTTCCAATATCAATGATGGCGATCTATTTAAAACTTCTACTAGATGTTCACTAGAGAAACAGGGCTGAATAACTGCATTAATGTGTTCCAGCCAGTTAGTGCCTTACCTCAAGATAAATCCAGACAGTAAACTGGATTTTAATGAACAAGTAAAGTTAAGGGAATCATTCTCTGAAAGCTGCAGAACAGGTAGCTGTGGTGATGCTAAATGCAGCAGAGCAGTTCTGTTCAAACAGCCAGGACATGATAATGTTAACTGGACTTCCTGAGGAGAGTCTGCTGCATCACTGAAGAGCAGAGGGACCCTGAGCCTTTTCCATTAGCCTCGCAATAGACAAGAATAGCATCTGTAACTCTAGTAACTGTACACAAAGATGGCCTTAAAGTGCTTAGAGGATATAAAAATAAAAACACAAACATGGGGCTAAATGTCACTGATGAAAGCTGGACGTAACTGTTTGCAGTGTTTGTTGACTAAAATCAATAGAAATTAAATTACTAAAACTAAATCAAGTGCCAAAATTAAATCTTCATTTGCCCCGCTCTGCTTGACCTACAAGCCAATATAAACACCCCATCCACTGACCCCATTCATGTGAAGTTATATTTACAACGCTCTCACAGGAGCATAACCACCACACATCAGCAGAGCAGACAATCTGACCAAACGCCAACCCGATGGGAAGAAGAAAGGGGCTCTCCTCAGGTTGGCTACTCGCAAAAGGATTCCCAAGACTTTCCATGACGACTGAAGGGATTTCTGGGAATATATTGGGGGCAGGCTGAGACTGGGGCACGGTGTGGGACGGAGGTGGGGTTAAGAAAAGTGCTGAGCAGTGCAAGAGGGGAAGAACAGTTTAACACTTGTCATTAACCTCCCCATCTGGAGAGCAGAGCGTGCAGTGACAGAGGGAGGCAGTGACTTGGTGGAGATGAAGACAGTTAAGGAGAGGAGGGGTTTCTAAGAAGGCAGAAGGAGTGTTAAGTGGGCGAGCAAATAGGCTGTGTCAGGGATGCTCTCATACCGAAATGTATGAACAAGACATTATGAGTGAAATATGGATGGAACCATTTCCTTAATCGTTCATAACATGAAGGCTAGAGGTTAAAAACCATATTTCACTGGTTAAATTCCTGAATAACTCTAGCATAGGTTAGATAAGGAGAAGAGAGGAGAGTACCGTGGTGATGTGGCAAACTTTGATTAGCTGAGCGCTGAAAGCCTGGAACAATCAGTTCTTCAGGCCTGCGAGAGGAAGAGCGGTCCATCCTTTCCTGTCAAAAAAAAACGACAGAAAAAAGAAAGTTCTTCTTTTAAACGGCAAAAATAATGTGGTAAAAAAAAAAAGCTATGCAGTGCAAAGAAGATGTCAGATATTTTAGTGAAGGCTAAGACAACATGTTATTTTCAGAGTTCAGATGGTCAGGCAAAGGGTGGGTTCATGCCTCTGCTCTCGAGTAACATCAAGTCTTATGTTCAGAGACCTGTGACACTCTGGCCTTCAGGCACTGTGACTTTATGAACCCCCCGACCTTTCCCTTTCACCCTCTTTAGTTGTCTCTCTGTCTGTCTCAGACACACACACTTTTTGTTTTCAACTCTCATGTGTGAAACTCACACATAGCAATTTGTGGATCTCTAAAAGAAAAAAAAGAGCATATCAATCATTTTTAGAACAAAAACACATCCCCAGCACACGTATACAATCTCACACATCTCACACACATGCACATGTGCGCATGTGTCTGTGTGTGTGCACACACATACACACACTGCCAAGTTCTTCACACATTGTCTAATTTGAAGCAGCCGAGAGGCAAGAAAGCAGCAGAGGAGAAAGAGAGGGGAAAAAAAGTCAAACAAATTTTCAATCTTCCCTTTTCCAGGAAAAAGAGGAACGCGGAAGCGTTGCTTCCAGGAACTGCTCGTGGCCAGAGGTCCTGTTGTGCATGCATGCACATACACACAGACACTCACAGCTCCCCTCGGTGCTTCGAAAACATCCATAAATGCCCAGAGTAAGATTTATAGCTCTGAGAAGCAGCAGCCAAAAGCTTTCCAAGGAAGGCAACTTGGCTGCAGGGCCTATGGGCTGACAGAGAAAGTCTGCAGACTTCAGCTCAGGCTGAGGTACAACAACTTAGCGACGAAACTCTCTCTGATGTACACCGTCCTCAGCACATCATGGGAGAAACATGGAAGTCAGCATGCAAACAACAGTCAGGATCACTGCAAATCCACAGAAAAGTAGATTTATGCACAGCCAGCTGAGACAACCTTGCATTTGCATATTAAAATTCTGCCAGATCTTTCAGCCAGTTAGCTTAGCATAGCACAAAGACAGTTACAGCTCGTCTGCATCTGTCATTTTTACACATAATTTTTTGCAGATCAAACAAACAAGAACTAAAGTGTTCATTTTGCATGATACAAGTGGCTGGAAGTTGAATTTGGGTTATTTTTCTTTGGACAGAGTCAGGCTAGTTTCCAGTCTTTGTGCTAAGCAAAGCTAGCTGCTTGCTGTAGCCTAATTAAACAAGCGTGATGGTGGTATCAATCTCCTCCCCTCACTCTCAGCAAGACAGTGAATTAGAGTTTTTTACCAAAATGTCAAATTGTTTCTTGAAGACACTTGGTTGTGTTGTGGAAATGTGAATGAAATGATGCGAAGCACATTAAACGAAATACTGCAGCCATCTTTATAACGAACAATAATGAAAGAATCAGCTGAGATGAAGAGTTGGGATGAGGACAGCTTGCAGAGAATATTATGTAGTTACTTTTCAAATTTTGAAACTTGAGAGGAAGATCGAGAGTTTAGTGGTTTACTTATCACAAGCATGAGTCCTATGCTGATATTGATCATTACGGTTTCAGCACCTATCACTGCTGCTCTGTTATTGCTTTGTCCTCAGCACAGGAGTGTAGCTGTGTACAGTGTGAGGAGTTGAAGGCAGGACAGTGTCCTCGTTCTAGAAACAGTTATCAGTAGCAGCAGTGTTAATATATAGCTACAAGTAAACGCAGGAAAATTACCCTCCCCTCCGCAGCACTCTTGCAGTAAAAGAGTCAGCTTTAACGGCTACACTCCCCATAAAAACCTCACAGTGAAATCTAATGCACTTTGTCTGACTGTAGTTTGAAGAGATATTGTACTGATGTTACCTCAGTGATCGGCTAGGGGGTGAGGTAATAAAAAAAAAAAAAACCCACTGTGACAAACATTGCTCTGGTTTCTCAGTGAAAGATGTGATCCTTTTGCACAACAGTTAAATCAAATAGTTCCAAACAGCACTCTTGATATGACCAGTCTTTAGCGTACAAGTGGTCTAGTGCATGAAAGGAGGCTTTCTTCTTCTAGTTTGATTGCTTGTGACTCAGTCCTCCAGTCTTGAGTTTCCAGTTTCACAACAGCATCATTCAACAAATCCTCTTCATACTTAATTTTTGTTTTGACATCTTCAACTTGTTTTCATCAAAGTTTAATACAGTCACTGAGCATTTTCAGTTTTGGTAAATCCATTGCTTTTTGCAGGGGTGGGATGTGTTTAGTGGACAGAAAGGTCCCTAATATATTAACCACTGGTCAATACATACAATACGATTGATGTGCGAGACAACTTAAAAAAAGCATATTGTCCTGGAGCCGCAGCACGTTAGCTAGAAGCTTTCCTCTACCTTTTTCTTTGTTTGCCTCAAACATTTGAGTTTTTAAACAGTGACATATGGCTTTAGAGTATACACAATCTGAGTAACTTGTTTCTGGGTGAGGCCAAGAATTTTTTTGAAGTACTCATGTAAATTTAAAAATTAAGCACAAAAAAAAAAAAAAAAACGTTCTTATCAAAAATAAACAGTTTTTAAACATAAATATCTATTTTACTATCAAGCTTGTTTAGCTGATCTAATATGGTCAAGAGGGTTCATGTGGTACGTCTGTATAAAGATTTGATATTGCGCACAATAAAGTACCTGTTAAGGGTTAGGGTTAGGGTTAGGGTGAGAGCCTACAGTTGAACATATTGGGTAAAGAGATGCATGGAGTTCTGTGCATAGACTGTATAAAAGATGGACGTAGCAACCAGCCCTGAAAAATGAAGCCAACTTTGAAGTGTCAAAAACCTGCAATATCACTACGTCCACTAGTCCTGGCTCCAAAAAGCCCTGGCTCCCATAGACTTGAATTGGAAAAGAAGTGATCCCAGATCATGAAATACTGCATTCCTACAGCTCAGGATTTTTTAAAATTAGTTTTCATGGTCAAATCCAGAGATCAGGTGGCCAATCTGAAAATAAATCAATACTGAATTTTTTAAAAATCGTCAACATTTTGCGGGGCAAGGGGCGTGGCTGGCTTGATTGACAGTCGGCAGCGACCATACAGACGAAGCGGGCAGAGAGGGCCCGCCTCTCAATCCGTCTGACCAATCGCTGCTCCTATGGCTCCGCCCCCCTCCGACCATTTTTGCATCACTGGCTCTAAAAATCCAAGATGTCAACCAGGAAGTAGCAAAACCCTGGCTTCATTTTCTCAGTGCAGAAACCAACGGGTGACGTCACGGTAGCTACGTCCATCTTTTATACAGTCTATGGTTCTGTGCCAATATCACGAGGACAACAGCAAAAAGTGGATGTTAAGCAGCTAAGAGATGGTCCCCATCTTGCTGAGTGTCCACCAGTGCACTACTAACCTGACAATCAGTTAGGCCTAAGTTGACCCCCCGCTGGCAGTAAGTAGCACAGAAAATGCTTTTTAAACTACAGCTACAGAAACAGATATGGTGCGAATAAAAAGTATTCACCTCCCTCAAAGTATAAACACATTTTCACAAAGTAATGTAATTTACCAAAAAACACAACATGTAAAATAAATGATTGCATAAGTATCTGCCCCCTTTAAAGTATCTTAGCTAATTCAACACATAAGAGTTTTGTTTTGTTTTTTTTTTCAAATTCTTGACAGAAAAAAAGCTAAATTAAACAAAATGATTAAACTCACCATGATTCAATGTTGAAAAGCAACAAAAAAAGAGAAAACTTCCTCTTTATAGACGCTGTATGGTGGTTAAAAAGCTCAGTAAGAACATTAAATATTCACAGCTTCACCGTTTAAACGGCGATTGCCTATTCTCAGGTCGATGAATCGCAGCCTCTGGAACTCTACCTAAATGCTGCCATGAGTCTGAGTCCCTGTAAAAAAAAGACACTTGCCTGCGGTGGTGAAACTAAAAATCGCTAAAGGTTCTCTTTTTAAGAGTATGTTTGGCCATTTGCCTTTATTTAGGCTTAGTTGTATTCAGTAGATTGGAGAGACACAAGTGACGAGAGAGAGAACAGAAAAATGAAATACAGCGAGACCAGGTCCAGCCAGGAATCCAACCAGGGTCTCACTGCTTGAAGGCTTTTGTTCCTATGAGATGTGCGCCCTTCTTCACTCTGCTATCAGGTTGTTCTATCCAAATGTTCTGGGATTGGGACAGAGAGCCCCCCAGCTCTAAACATAACTGACAACATAGCTGAGCTTTTAATTATTTAGCTATGAAGACAGTACTTCAAAAATTGATGACAGTTGTTAAGACATTTCACTGAAAGTAAAAAAAAAAAAGACAACTTGGGGTTGACAGTAAAAGTGAAAGGATCACAACATCCTCTAGGGGAAGGCGGACGTCCTTTGAAAACGTTACTGGAACCCATCTAGTTGTTGTCGAGATATTTTAGTGTGGGACAAAGCGGTGGAGCAGCTGACCAATATTGCCATCTACTGAGCCAAAACATTAGCAAAACTAAAAGCACTAGATGCCGAGTTTTGCTCCTAACATAGAATTATAGGTGCTTTATATGATGGTTAACAAAACCTTTGTTTCTGTGTGAGACCACATAGAAACCGAGGTGGAATACTCGAATATTTTGGTAGATTAAGAGTAGTAAATCCATCTTTGAACACTTCCTTCCAAATGTTGTCTCTTGTACACCTCAACAGGGCAATGAAAAAGAACTGTCGGGGGGCAGTGCAAAAAGATTTTGTTGGTGTTGGCTTTGAACAATGTTGTCTTTGACGGTTTGTTCTTTTCTTCCAGAGGACTTCATGCTTTGACTCTGTAGTGTCGAGGTGATTTCCAGAAAGAATTCGCTCCAAAAACAAGTGTCAAAAAAGTACGTCTCTTGTAGCTTTCTTGGACGTGTCTTACGCCTCGTCTTGCATTTTCGGAGTCTTACAGTTACATGTGATTGGACCAGTGTCACGGTTCTTGGAGTCAGCAGCGGTTGCAGAGGAAATCTTAGGCCTGGAGTTTCAATCAGCTTGACATATTGGGGTTGCTCTTGGATAGACATGCTGTAACTACTCTTGACATCTCTTTCATTATTAGCAAACTTCTCTTCTTTCACTCTATAGCCCACAGCATTAACAGCTAGGCATTTCAACATACTTTCTCCCGGCGCATCAAAGGACACACTTCCTCGAAAGCACAAACACGACCGAGCACGCCTATCGCCACCCCTGTGTAAATCCACTAAACTCTGACCTGTAAGAACATAAAGTCAGAAGGAAGCGTAGTCCGCGTTCTTGGACAGAACAGATACGCTGCACGAATGGAACAAATACTGACGTTGGTTGGAGAGGAGCCATTAGACGCTTTGTTTTTATGACCAGTTAAAGTCATAAGTCAGGTGAGCTTCCAGTCTGTTGACGTTGGTTTGTTGGTGCTCTGCAGTGTGTGTGTGTGTGTGTGTGTGCACATTTATAAATGCATACATAAGGCGAACAGAGAAGGAAAGCGAGAGTTGCTGGCTGTTTCATCTGAGACATCTCTGGCAGAGGTCCAAAGTTCTCACTAAGATAGACAGACGCGCAACACACACACACACACATGCACACACACACACTCTGGAGACGGGTCTGGACCGCTGCCCAGATTCCCAAACATGCCCAGCGTTATGTATAGCGTTATGTAAGTACCCAGAAAAAAAGGGCTCATTTGCTCCTTATCTATGCACACTAAACCTGCAGTCACTGCCTACAGAGAGACTCCATGGGGTGTGTGTGTGTGTGTGTGTGTGTGTGTGTGTGTGTGTGTGTGCCATGCTGTGTCATGTCAACTGGCAAGCTTTACATAAGAAGCACACACACACAGCAATGTTGTAACCCGCTTCTCTCGGTCTGACTATCAAACCCTGTTTTTTCTCTGCTCGATGCAGGGTGGAGGAATGTTGTTTTCTATGGGGATTCAATTCACTATTCACTGCAGTCTTACTGGTGCAAAACCCTTTCCTGGAAGCTAACGTGAACCAATCCAACTTAATGTCAGCTCAGCAGGGGCTCAGCGGTCCCACGGTTTGGGTTAGCAGGGAGCTGCATTTTTGTACCTCTGCTAAGAGGAATAAGGCAGCTGAGGCTACGTCACCTCCATCGTCCCATCGGTTCCAGTAAGACGTCATACCGTCAATCCCATGCTTTCAGGCCTTTCACACAACAAAGTCCACAGCTTGTTATTGTTGTTTGTTTAGGGCTCTATTTATAGACCTCCACGATGCTCTTTAGCCAAATTCTTTAGGTTACTGGAGAGTTGGAGAGGAGAAAATCGATGCTGAGAAACAAAAGGCTCATTCTGCAGGAGTTGGACAGTGGAAGTGGGTCTGTTGTGTTGCAGGGACGCCATATTTCACCGAACTAGGCCGAGAGTCATTCACTGAAAAGCAAGTGGACTCACAAAGCCACTGTACACATGTTGATACACAGAGAAGTGTAGGATTGTCTTCTAACTACAGTCATTTTCTAGCCAATAAACCAAACTAAAACCCCTTTTTGGTCTAAAGATACTTCAACCTTAACGCTGTACTAATTTCTACATTTTATGTAACTACTGGGTCGAAAAGTGCAATCAAAACGAAGTCGCTCAGAGTTTTTCTTTTTTCTAAAGCCAAAACTAAACTATTAAAACGACTATCACTGTTATGCCAACACAATCACAAATGCTAATTCAGCTTTAGGTCGGCTGAATATGAATGGACCACTGTTCACCAGAACAACTTTATGTACACTATTTATGATAGTATTTTAATCACCAACTTCACGGCTCAGGTGAAATGTTAGCATCACTTATACAGCAGTTAAAAAAGTATCCAGCAGTTAGCTATCAGCTAGCTGCAAACTTAGCTTCCTAATGCCGACAGAAATCTCCTAATTTCAGTGATTTCACTTGTATCAATTTGACATTTGTGGTGCCCAATAGTTTATTTGTGGCCAATAAAATGCAGTAGAATAAAAAAATGTTACCATTCGATAACCGATGGTGTCACTTTTAAGAACAACAATCATCGCTAATTGCTAAGCTAATGCAGGGTACACTTCAGCATAAACACAGGATAACAGCTAAAGTATAAAGGGTAAAACTTTAGAGGCAGATGTGTTTGTCATTACAGCAAAATGTGAAGTAGATAAACTCCTAAAAGTTAGGATTTTCTCTACACCCTAAACCAGGGGTGTCGAACTCTGGTCCTCGAGGGCCACAATCCTGCAAGTTTTAGATGTTTCTCTCTTCCAACACACCTGATTCAAATGATCAGCTCATCATCAAGCTCTGCAGAAGCCTGATAACGATCCTGATCATTTGAATCAGGTGTGTTGGAAACATCTAAAACATGCAGGATTGCGGCCCTCGAGGACCGGAGTTCGACACCCCTGCCCTAAACAAATATTGGCCAAAAATGAAGTTTTAGATGTCATTTAGAATGAGACATTCCTTTAATTACAGCAGTTAAGAAAGTTTGTGTGACTTTCTGTCATCATTATTTGGTTTCAGTCTATCCCATTGTTGTTGATCATCCATCTTGAACAATGAGACCCACGGGTGCACCTTAGTATATCAATCGCTGACTCATAACTGGCAAAGCTAAAAGTAACGGAGCCAATGTTAAAGTTATGTGTGACACCTATACTTTTCCTGCAAGTCAAAATATCAAAGCTAGAAAAATGTCAACCCCTACACAAGCTTTTCTATTCATGAAAACTTACCTCTAGTGTAACTTTACTATAGCACAGACTTGATGATTGTGCTACAATCACCAACAAGCTCACAGACATACAACACACATAATATTCACCTGGTAGTTTGAGTGACGTAGGAAGTAGTCAGGGCATCCCGCTAAGGCCATGATGTTTCCTCAGTGTTGCCTCTGCAGGGGTTGACCCCTCGGTCTCACCAGCACCCTGCACATCAAGCAGACAAAACACGGATATCGAACAGAGTTTTAAAAAACAGCACCTAAAACTTGAATCTGAAATAATGCAATTAGTAAATCGGCCACGAAAAAAATAAAACTAATGCTGTAATTCAGTTTCATTTCTTCCGAGCAGACTGAAACTTCCAGTGGTTGTTCGTGCTTCCCATTGATGAATGCATAATACGACTGACATCATTATTTAATAGCCACACTTCATGCATTTTGCAGCCCAGGGTTTTAACTTTTGTGTAAATATTTCTTTTAAATCAAGTCAAGCTTTTCATGGTGACTCGTGGTAATCATGTTTTAAATCTGTTGCACAGTGAACATTGAACTGAAGCTTGAAAATTGGATCGCTGTAACTGCAAAAAAAATGGTTACAAAACCGCAATGAGATGTTTGCCACAAAGCCACATTAAAATAACATTCAAAATGAACAGAAAACCTGAGGAAAAAAGAAAATAGAGTTTGAATTTATAAAACTCACAAACCATCCCAGGTAAGTCATGTGGTTTGTGCTAAATATGATGCGACAACTTTGCAAAACCCTAATCTTTCCTCTTAGAAGACTAAAGGCCTACACCCCTGCTCTCACCTAAAGAGAAAACAAAGCCTGCATGTGCAAATGAATGTGCATGCATGGATGAACATGTGCACACTGAATCCAGTGTAAACACAGCCATTGTGTACGACACACACACACACACACACACACACACAAGTCAGTTCCCAAACAAAGCCGGGGGCTTAAGACTAAATAAGAAACCCTCTCCAAGCTAGCAACACATGACCACTCACCACCTGCAGACTGATGAGGAAGAAAAAGCAGGAGGAGGGGGGGCCTTTCTGAAGCAACTTGAAATAGGAGTCGGCTATTTCCACTGCATTATCTGCTGTGAGTGAGCAGCGGGAAGTTGTGCGTATGTGTGTGTGTGTGTTTGGAAAGAGGACTGTAATAAATATCAATCTCAAGCTGTCCAGCATTAAGTCTTGTGTTTGTTTTTCTGCATTTAAGAGTGTTAAAAAAAAAAAAAAAAAAGATTCTCCTACTTGCTTGATCCGCCTCAAACCTCATTCCAATCATATAAATATGATGATAAATGAGCTCCTTGGTTTCCGCGTAATGTCATTTTGGAATCAGATTTCTATCTCCGCTTGTTTCATTGTTTTGGCTCCAAAGTCTTCACTTCGCCTGTCGGTGGAAATCCCGGATCACCGTGAAAATCTAATCGGCGGCTGCTTTAAGATCTCCTATCTGCCCGTGCAATTTCATGGAAGGCTGCAATAACATTTTAAGAGATCTCCAGCTCATAAGCGGGATGCTTGTCTAAGTTCAAGAAAAACAACATCACCTCCTTACAAGAAGGAGCGACTCTCTGCAGCCCACATGCACATTTCAGGGAAGCGCTGCATACGATACTGCTTCCAACAAAGGTTCAGCAAATGGAATCTCAGCGCTGAATCTACCTCTCACTAAATAGCTCCTCTTACTCTTTGACTCTGATTCCTCTACACTTTCTCTCCCAGCGTGTCTCCATTGTACAGGTCATTATATAACAGATATCAGATGGTTCGAACAATATCTCTTCGTCCTCCTCCTCCTCCTCCTCCTCCTCCTCTCCCTCTCCTTCTCTTTTCACCCCACTAATTACTGTTTCCACTGGGGCTCTGCTATCTTTAGGCCGCTCTGCTGACAGTGAATGCGTGTCTAAATGTGTGTGCACAGTTGGACACACATTGAAAAGGCACCCCTCTCCACTGCTGATAATCGCATGCTTTTTTTTTTCTCTCTCTCTCTCTTTTTTTGTGTGTCTCACATGTTCTTGCATATAGGCTGTTCACACACCAATCAAAGTGCTGGCCAAAAGGGCAAACGCTGCTGATTGTACGTGCAGCTAATAAGCATGAAAGCAAAGCCAAAGCTCCAAGTGCTTGACATTTGCTGACATTTGTGGTTCCTCCTGCAGAGAAAGGGAATAAATTCAGCTTTACTGGTCATAAGGGGGGGAGGGTGGTGGTGGTGGTGGTGGGGGATCTGGAGAATTAAATGGGGCAGGGAGCAACTTAATAATGCCACACGTGTGAGTGTGTGTTTGCTGATACAACACGCCCACCCGTGCACCTTAAATGGACTCTGCATTTTAGTTACAGGTTTGGTTTTTGGGCAATTATGAATCTATGCTGATCTAAGAAGATCACACAGCAGTAAAAGCCAAGCAATTCAGAGCCTCCTTAATGCTGCCTGATCCTGCACGAACCTGAAGTCTTCCCTTGTGCACCAGGAGGGAAGGAGGAAGTTCAGCAACAAGCACAGATTTGCCTACATGAAATCACAGCAAATGGAGCTTTAGGACAGATCATCAACACTCGGTTAGCTTGATGGGTTCAGATAACTTCCCCCTTTTTTTGATTCAAAGTTAGTGAGGAGATGAACCAGCAGCTTCTGGACACTGATGGAGCATCTAGACTGGCTGGTGTGTCCAGGGGGTTATGTCAACTTTTGGCTTCAAAGCCTGAAACAACTCCCCCCTCTTGCCTCTATCAGCAATACAGTCCAAGTGTGACTGTCATTTAGGAGAATAACTTTATGCTCCAGCTGGTGATTAACACTATTTGTGCAGAGATGCCTTAGTTTGGCACTTTTAAAGATGCAAACAGCGACGTAAAAAAAAAAAATCTCATGTCACAGCTTAAAAAAAAAAAAAAAAAACGCCAGTAAAGTCCTGCTTCTGCTGGATCAAGCGAGCACAAGCAGAAACGGTTCGGTCCCACTGACAAATATTAGTTCCCAGACAAACAAAGTGCTTACGGTAATGAAAGGGCAGGACGCAGCTCCGGATCGTGTCCAGGACGCGCGGTGGAGCAGCAACCCGGCGCTGCCTGCTTCGACTATCCTCGTCTGGATCTCCACACAAACTGCTTCTCCTCCACCACACAAAAAAACAACAACCAAAAAAAACAACAACAACAACAACAAAAAAAACAAAACACCCAAAACCTCTGTCCGCTGCTCTGTTGTCTTCACCTTGTTCCCCCCCGAACTGCTTTCCTTGCACACGAGACAAACACACACACACACACACACTCATCCAAACGCACACTCACGCATCCAAACACACACACGCATCCAGCGCTCTCTGCACTTTTCCACCAGCTGACTTCTCGCGCTCGCTCCGCACACGCACGCACGCACACACACATACGTACGTGCGCGCCCCCCTCCTTCTCTCTCTCTCTCTCTCTGAAGGAAACCTCCCCTCTCTCTCCCCGCCCTGTTCACAACAGCACACTGCAAAAAAAAATACACCATATTTTACAAGCTGCTGCACATCTGACACAGCCAGAAGAAAAACCTGTGAAAGATCTTTGAGTAAGAGTGTTCCACTAAGTCCCGGAAGTTGTGATTGTCACTGTGTTTTATGAGACTTTTACAGTTTAGGGCTCAAACCAACAGTGGAAGTGGGACAGTTTTTGCAGTGTGTTCAAGACCTGACTTTAACCCTCCAGGCAGAAGGAGGCCTCCACTGTGCTCTGTGAACTAAAGTGACACAGCCATGTCAAACCATCCATCTGGTGTTACTGCTGCAGGGTTTACGGTGTGTACCTGCTGTACAGCTTAAGGTATGTGTAATTTGTGTCAAATGTAATCACACATTTACACCAGAGAAGAAAGAAAAGCCAACTATATTTAGAGTTCAAAATAACAAAGCATGATAAGGTCACCATCACAGTGTTGAGTACAATAAACGGACTGTAAGTCATCAGGGGGACTGTGAACCCACCAAACTACACTGAGCAGCTGCAATATTTAAATGTTTGACAAGTGAAGCGAATAACAATGACTGTTTCGTTACAGTGCAATGTTTTTTTTTTAAAAAGTAAACTTTTGGTCGTGGCATTCATGTAGCTGTTACTTTGACATGCACCACGGCGACGCCTGCAGCAGCCTCCCTGAGAACACATCAATAAAGAAATAAAAAGCAGTAGACAAGGAAACAAGGAAACAAACTGTTAGGAAGAACAGCAGCACGGTGTGATGATGATAATAATAATAATAATAATAATAATAATAATAATAATAATAATAATTTGCTATATGATAGCAGCACAGTGCCACATTAGGAATAATATTAATAACAACA